CGAGCAACTTTCTATACGCATTGGTTAAGGAATTCAATTCAGAATCGACTTTTGCTCAAGCCAACCAAGCCTTTGATCCCTTCTAACTTAATTGATGGCAGATTCGTCTGGAAGAATAAGAACAATGGCTTGTACCTGGTTGAATCTCGCAAGAAACTGTATGGGTCGATTCGATTTCAAATGCCACTACGATTCCAAATGGGAAGCAAACACGTGGCGCACCCCAGAAACGACTGACCAATGCCAACGTTTTTACATTACATTTTAATACCTTTACTAGACTCGCTCAGGTCGCGGTCGTACTTAACGAGATAAAAACAAAGAAGCAACGAAAAGCTTTAAGTAGAAAAAGTGCTATAAAGTGCGTGAAGTCGAACTCACCCAATCAGCGATGAAAACATTCTGGCTATGTGAACTGACGGAGCCTCGACCCGATGACCAGACAAGTTTTTTGCCATCATGAGAGAACATTGGGAATCCATCAAAGTGACTTCCGTCGAAGGTCACCTTAAACCAGGACTTGAACGAGTTCGAGTGAACTGAAGTAAGTGAAGGAGACCTGCTCGAGACCAGTGCCGTCCTCATTAACTATGTACAAGTTGAAATCGGGATCGTCGGGACCCGTCGAGTTGAAGTTGGAACTGAAATCGGTTTTGTTTAGCAGCCGAGGGTTTATACGAAGAATATGAAACTCCAGTTGGGTGGGGGCACTCACCATGCTCTCCAGTAGTGAGGATAAGGATAAGAGTTTTCATAACACGTAGTCGATTCACGTATAGATACTTTTGATAAGGACCGGAACATTAAGAATGTACTCATAAGATGTTTCAGATGTCGGCCTGCAGGAACTGGTCTTGAACTAGGGTATGGACATTCTTCCCTAGAGGCAAGGGTGTAGGAGCCCAGAGTGGACGATCACATACCATAAATTGCCTAGGATGTGAGCAGGATGTGCTCACATCCTCCTTATCAAAAGAGCACTTGGAATGAGTGGTTTATCTATTATCTTATCCATAGGGTTAAAGTCCAAAGAAGTGTTTTCTGTGCCACGGATAAGGTTAAAGGGAGTGTCCCACCCCTGAACTGGAATTTTACCGCAGCCGAATAACAAACAAACATCCTTGATGACCAACCTAAAAATGATCCTTTTATTGTCCGGATGATAGTAAGGGGCCCAGCTGATTTGACCAAGTGGTGTCTTGAACACAGGTCGTTTACCACTGCCGTCCACGTTCATCACATACAACTCCATTTCGTTAGGAGCAATCAGATCGCGTCTGAAGCCATCCACATTCACAAGGCACATTTTCAGCAGCGCAAATACTGAATACTTACTCGAGTAGATATTTGTACGTTGCGATTTCTTCGTCTGTCTTCGGCCGACTTGCACGATAAACAATTTTCTTGCTGTCCGGTGAGAAGAAGCCGCCTCCATCGTAGCCAAGTTCATGTGTCAGCTGAAAGCCTACATTCACAAAGATTTTCTTGAAATCCTGGCCACAAAAAAGGCTCAAAAAATGTTTTTGTTATAAGTTCCCTAATGGAAACAAGGAGGACGTGAGGACTTTTTCCTCTAACCACTTAC